TCCAAAGTTGAAAGATTTTTAGACGATGTTGTATCAAGGAAACTGCACTGTGAACTGCATGTTATCTTAACTGCAGTAGCACAAATGAAACTTTATGGAGCAAGCAGGGAGTAGCTCAAAGAGATTCGAGTATCCTATATACCCCTTAAATTTATACTTGCTTAGTCTGAAATGTATTTTAACTGGATTCTTGCAGCATTCTGGGGATACTATTGTATTGTATTTCTTGTGATACTGTGTTCTGCAAGGGAAGGCTGAATTATGAATTGCTGTAGGGATAGCTCAGCATAACAAACTTTTTTTTTGAGTATCTGTAAAGGAAGAAAACTCTGCTCTATTGAACCTGGTAACAGGTTTGTATGTATGTGAAAGAAGGAAAAAAGGAAGGGGTAAATCAGCCTTCTTTCACTAAAATGAATTAGACAGTAGTATCAAAGTATGCCTGAAATTCTGCTATATTCTGCAGTTCATTTCACTCATTAGGCTGTTTTACTTACCTAGGCTTCATGCAGAAAACTCGGTCTCTTTAGTTTGCTGAGTTATCTGTTCAACCACCTTAGTACTGCTGGGCAAATGGAATAAAACTCAGTGGCATCTGAATAATTGGATCCGGTGGCTTCTGTTTATCTTTGGTATTTTTTTTTTCTGGTAAAATGTTTAGTTTGTTACTATAGTAATAGCAAGTATCAGAAATATATACAGGATGTGTAGGATAGCCAAGTTAATGTTGCAGTTGGAATCTTACGCATTTGTAATTTCTTTTTAACTTCAAACTTAACGTTATTTGAACATTTTTGTGTTCCATTTCTTTTTAAGATGAGAAGAAAGGGAAAAACTGCCTGTATTTTAATAATGTTAACGCTTAAATGGTCCCACTTGGACTTTGAAGTTCACTTTTCAACTTAAACTCCAAACCAAAAAATGTCCTTCCAAGGGTCTGGGCACTCTTAATATAAAAAGAAATAAGTCATTGCAAACAAAAATTGAGCATAGTAGCTGTACAATTGCACATCTTAGCTTTTTCTTTTTTCTTTTGTCTTATCCTAATGGGATAAGAGCTTTAAGGAATCTGCTGAGGGCTTGACAGAGCTATTGCTACTTTCTGCAAGCATTTAGAAAAACATTATTTTGGAATGTTCTTGGTTATAAGCATTTATTTTGTCAGACACTTTCTAATCTGGCATATGTCTGTATGCTTTTGCTCTGTTCATAACCTTTCTCCTAGACGTTTACCCTTGATCGATTCACTCTGGGAGACAGATTGTTCAGCTAGATAAGCCCTTGGTCTGAGTAGCACAGCTTTGTTGAGAAACTTTTACTACAGCTGGAATTGTATATGTGTAAGCAGTGATAATATCCCTCCCCTTTTTTTTTTTTCCAGGTTGTTTTAAAGAAAAGCAGAGGCTAAAAAATGGAATAATGGAATTTCAAATCTTGGATTTTTTTAAATCTGTTCTTACTAACTTGAGATCCTGTGAGCCAGCTTTTGCACTTGTGGAAGTATTTACTTTTACTAATGTTTATCTCCTGACTGTCTCTGAGTATCCTGCTATTTCTTTAAAAAAAAAAAAAAGTTTTCATACACTTCATATATAATTTTAAAATGTGTGTCATTTATAAGTACCATAAGTAATAGTAACTTTTCATATAAATCTTTTGATGTACCTTATTTCTTCCAACAAAATTTAGGGATACCTTTGCTATACTCACTCAAGTACAATATGTCATTTTTTAATCTAGTGTTATATATTTGAAGCATTTTAAGGAGAACAATAATAAAAGTGCAGGCTTCACTTAATCCATTATAGATTATGCTGTTCAGAACATATTTACTAGCTAAGCAAAATGCTAACTTTCAAAAGAAGTGCTGTAGAACCTAGTGTATTAAATGACTTGACTTTGATTTGTTTATAAATGTCTTAATATTTTTAATTCACTTTGAAAAGTAGGCTAAAATTTCTGTGCTTTGGTGAATGGAAACATATTCTGTATTTCTAAACCAAGCTCTCATCTGTTAAGCTGACCTGCTCTTTGATGTGGTATGTGAGACAACTTGGCGGTCTTAATTCAGTTGGTGTGGACAGATGCACATTATAAAAAATATTTGACACAGCTGATGGTTTTTGAAGTTAGATTCTGTAGAAATAATGAAGATAAGTTGGCATGCACGCTGAGCTACTTTCTCCCCTGTTTTGAGCGTCATCCTAGCTTGTAGAAGCATCGAAATGTACATTAGATAAAAACATCTTTAATTGAAATTGTATTCTATTGCTAATCTGATATTTTTAAATAAAACATTGCTAAAAGCTTCACTTGACAGATCTTTTAATAAAGGTACAATTGAATCTTATTGTTTGAGCTGATAACACTATTTTGTGGAATGTGTAGTAGCTGATGCTTCATATCAGTGAGCTATTCTTAAAATAAAACAAAAATTGTAAAACATCATATATTGAGTATTCTAATTTTGTTTAAGACATTACCAAGTATATGTTAGAAACAAAGCAAAAAAGAATTGCATTTCCTAAATATGTCTATAGTCTAAAGAAACTGTAGCAATGCCAGAACTTCGAACCTGAATTTGGTATCATACCCATGTACTTAAAATAGTCTACAACCTGAAAAGTCTCATCCTTTTACAGTATACAAAGAGGAAGAATCTCTTCTGGCTTTTCTTAGCATATAGGGCTTAGTTCAGTGTGCTTCTCAACAAGGTTGACTAGGTTCCTCATTGTGCCTTTTCTCTTACTCCCTTGGAATCCACAAAGCTGAAAATGTTTCCAATGTCTTAATCCATGTATGGAGAATATTTGGACTGGAGTAAGAGGTAGTTCAGGAGTGAGAGGTAGTTGACTATTTATATTTTTCATTGTAATTACTCTCCGTGATTTAAAAAAAATCATATTGCAACACTAGGTTTTCCTTCTTTGGAACTATAACTTTTCCCTGAAATATTTTCTTAAGAGCCTTGTATAACCACATAGCTTTCCTCATCGGACAGATGTTTGAATGCTTTGACACCCACTTTAACTTTTTTTTTTTGAATTGCATAGGACCAAGATTGTCTTCGGGCTTAGTGTAATTTTCTCAGTGTGTAGACAGTAGTAGGTGGATGATCAGCTACCACTGAGAAAAGGAATTAATGAAGAGTTAACATCAGCCACTAATGCATATGTATTTTTTTCTTTTAGGTAGAATGTTTTTGGCCCAAATTCATGGCTAAGAAGGTGTGGTTTTGCTTTCTTTTTTTTTCTTCTTCCTTTTAATAGGAGAGAGGAATTTTGCTACATCCTGTGAGAAGTTTGAGGCAAAAAATGTCCTGTCACTAGATTGCCATACTCTATGAATATTTGATAATAGCTGAAGACTGGAGAAAGAAGCATGTTTTACCTCTTGAATTTTAAATAAATGCTTACTGAAAATTAAGCTTGCTGATGTAGTGTAGTTCGCATTGTGTATTTCTGAATGCTTATTATGTTTTTCCTATAGACTCAATTCTGTAATGTAACTTTCAAAAGAGAAAATTATATTCACATTTGGCAGCTCTTCTGTACACCTTTACGTATATAGGTATGGTCTCTACCTGGTACTCCTTGGAGGTTTTTGTTTTTAAGTAAAAATTCCTTGCACCAGTGTTGTCTAAATATCCATAAACACTTCCAGTTAATATATCTTCGGAGGGTGTTCCTCTGTTGGTGAGTTTATTTAAGGATGGATGGCGAATGACCAAACATTAAAGCATAAAGTATTAGAAAACATCTTTGTAAGCTAGCTGTAGTATTAGAAGGCCTAATGAAGTGTGAGTTGGTTGTACTTATTTGAGGGTTTAGTTTCTGTGTTAATTCTCTGCCTTTAGAAGGAAAAAGGGAAAGGTTATTGAGGAAAGAGTCATGGTGAGGCATTAATAGGGTTACTCATCTACTTTCCTGAACCTCGAGAAATTTGGTGTTTCAGACCTCACTGTTGAATATTCTTTGGTTTCGAAGGTAGAAATGAGGGATTTTTGGGAATGAAATAACTAACAGGGTGCTCGGATAGTGCAATTGTGAGTCTTCATTTCTTCAGGAAAGCAGGTTAAAAAAATCTACTGAATAAAGGCGTATGGGGCCATTATTTAGTATTTCCATTTTCTTTATTCTTCTGACTCTTTGAAGCTTTCCCAGCATTTTTCTATTTCTCATCCCTCCCCTTGCTTTCACTATGACTACCAACATGAGAGGGAAAGACAAAACAAAGAATGGAAGAATGTGGCAAAAGCAGTTCTGGTGGCCCTTGTCTTGACTTTCAGGCAATGTTAGTCTGTGAGCCAGTGGGTGGTATCACAAGTAAATAAGGCAAGCAGGTACAATAAAAGAAGAAAAGTCCTTATTGATAAACTGGTGACTGTGAAGCGAGAGTGTGTTTTTTCCTTGCTGGAGGTGATGTGGCTTTGATTTCCTCTCACATACGGAGCAGCACATGAAAGAGGATCTGCTGTTTGCCGTCTTGAGATAAGTCTTCTCTTGAGGAGTATGCACTATTCCAGTTGTCAAGGTTACATCAGTTTGCTTGCAGAGAGTGCTTTATGAGTAGCTGTGAAAATTTTAAAACTAGATGTATGCATTTTTTTGAATTTGTAGGGCAAATTTATCATTTTGAGTATTATAAATCACCTGATTAGTAATGTAAAACTATAGACAAACAAAATGTAACTATTAAGAATGGCATGTTAGTGAAGCTTAGATCTGTGAAAAAAGTTAGCTGTCCAACTCCCAATAGAGTCAACAGGAATATATGAACTTGTTTAGCTTTGTGGGTCAAGGCCTAAATAATCACTTTTCTATTTGAATCCAAACTTTAATCCTTAATTCTGGTGTTTTGATTCAGGGAATCAACACAGATGTTACAGAGGACACTTACTGCTTGGAGCTTCATTGTACTTATGGGTAGGAGTGCATGATTGCTATTAAAACAATTTTTAAGTTGCAACTAAAAATAGGAAATATTCTCTATGCTATAATGATACAACAAAGCAAAAAAACTTCAGAAATATATAGTCTAGATCAGGAAAGTTCTTTTTCTAGCCATAAGGTGGGGATAGAGCAAAAACTTTTTATTCCCTGCAGAAACTTCCCATTACAGAAAATATTCTGTATATAAATTATACTGCATGTTGTGACACTTCTAGATTTTTTTGAAGACTACCAAGGCAGTGCTGCTAACAGATGCAGGGCAATTTATATTTTAGGAGGTTCTTGTTCACATCAAAAAGGAGTGTCTTGTTGATCAATACTGAGAGGGTAAAAGTTAGATGTGCTAGGCTTTGATAGATCTTGAAGATTTTTTTTTTCTTTGAAGTTCAATGTTTTGTCACTAAATAGCTTTCTGTCTCAGTAATAGGCTTATTGCAATTATTATTACAGTTATTTGTACAACATAGCTACATTTTGGAAACTGATGTATTCCATAGGCAGTTTCATGAAGGAGCTATTTGCAGGACATTCCTCATATAACAACTTTATTAAACATATAGCTAGCGTTTGTTGAATTGCTGATTCTGTTAGTCTTATCAGCTTAAAACGACTAACTATAGGGCAGCGCAACTCTTAAACATAGATTTTTGAGGAAACTTACGATTATGAGTATATATTTAGGAATTGTGACTTATATTTCAAATAAAAGTGCTGATTACAGTAAAACAAAATTCCTTTTTCCAGATCTGTAAATTGTATATCAAGTTTAAGTTCTTCAGACTGTTTAGAAGCGCTATATGTAGTTGTTCAGTATACGATATATGCATATATTTATGTATATTGTATAGTATATATTGTATGTATATATATTGTGTAGATTCCCTAATATGTGTTAATGTATGTGCACTTATGTGTACTTACAATTGTGTTGTGCTGGCCTACTTACATATGATAAAAGCATTATGGTACACTTTTCCTAAGCGTTTGGGTACTCTCAGACCCAGGATGAGATGATGCTTACAGCATTTTTGCTGCGCTAAACACAAAGCTTTAACTTTTGTAGGAAGCAGGTGAAGAGCTTTCTCACCTGTCACATCTTGATTCTACAGACGTAGTCAGTCACAATTCATTATTCTGCTGTTTCATGAACAACGTTGAGGGAATGTCAATTTCCTTGTCATCTGTATTCATCAAATTCATATGGGGTTTGATACATAATATTCTCCTATGTGCTAGGATACTAATATTGCCCTGGTCAAACTGCTGAAAGATCTTTTAAGGTCATTTGATGCCTGTAAGATAAGCTTCTTACTGAGAAGGTCACTTTCCTGGGGAAATGATTGCAGTGAATGGAGAACTTGGGGACAGTGTAGAAAAACACAGATAAGGTCACCCAAAAAACCTTAATATTACTTCTGGATTACAAAACAAAGCCTTACTACTAGATAATAGTGTAATTGCAGCAGTTAAGTAAAATCAAGAGCACTTCGTACAATAACTGCTTGCTCTTGACCTTCTACCATTATATAGGTCAGGCTATTGTTTCAACAATACTGCAGAAACAGATTCCTATTTTGTTTTATAAGCATGCAGAAAGCACATAAAGATACATTTTGGCAGTTAGACAAATAATGAATCAAAAATTATGAAGGTCAAACATTTCCATGTAGGTATAATAAGGAATAGATTTGGGTAGGCTGGAGATTCTGACTCCTTGTACCAGCTTAAATTGTTCTAATTGCTTTTGTGCTAATCCCTACAATGGACAGCCTAATGTGTCTAAATGGACAGCCTAAAATTTTTTTAATTTGTTTAACTTAAACAGGTAAGTATCCACACAAATTAGGTTGTGTAACTAAAATTTTTTTTAGTGAGACTTGCACAAGTTTTATGAATAAACCAGACCTTAACAGATCAAGAAAAAATTAAGATATAAGCCAATTTTTTAAATTCTACTGTATAGCTGAAACTTTTTTATATGAAAAAGCTTCTATTCTGAGCTGTTTGGGGGTCCTCACAGAGTAAAAACCAAAGTTAATATACTGATGATGTATTACATTTAAACACATTTAATTTGATGTTTGTTAGTTTTGCTTTTACTCTCCAAAATAAAATTATATGTGCACGATGCTATTTCCAAAATATGACTGACTTCTGAAGGTTGGATAGCAATTAAAAAGGAGTTAAAGAACACTAGTTTAAAAAATAGCGAAGGAGTGCTAAGGAAAAGAGAAAGATAGGCATGGTAATGGTTGTCTGGCCAACCTTAACTGTGTTCTGTAGTTTCCAATATTTGCTTTCATAATTTGTTTTTCAAGTGGAAATTTGATTTTTGTGGGTTCCCGCACTTTCCAAGTTGAAAAGGTTGGTTTTTTTTGCAGGGGAGAGAGGGGTAGCGGGTTTTGTCTAAGTAACGGTGTTCTTCTAAAACACTGGGTTATCCTCCTAAGATGTCATCAGAATTCCACATAATAATTAATTTTGACAGTACTTTTC